TATTATTATTATTATTATTTGAAACACAACAAACAAGTAGACAAGATCACTCTGCTGGCTGTTGTATTGGATCACACGATTATTATTATTATTATTATTAGAAACACAACAAGATGAGTCCACAACAGACAAACTACAACTCCCAGGATCCTGTAGCATGGAGCCACCACCAAACTACAACTCCCAGGATCCTGTAGCATGGAGCCACCACCAAACTACAACTCCCAGGATCCCGTAGCATGGAGCCACCAAACTACAACTCCCAGGATCCCGTAGCATGGAGCCACCACCAAACTACAACTCCCAGGATCCCGTAGCATGGAGCCACCACCAAACTACAACTCCCAGGATCCCGTAGCATGGAGCCACCACCAAACTACAACTCCCAGGATCCCGTAGCATGGAGCCACCACCAAACTACAACTCCCAGGATCCCGTAGCATGGAGCCACCAAACTACAACTCCCAGGATCCCGTAGCATGGAGCCACCAAACTACAACTCCCAGGATCCCGTAGCATGGAGCCACCACCAAACTACAACTCCCAGGATCCCGTAGCATGGAGCCACCACCAAACTACAACTCCCAGGATCCCGTAGCATGAAGCCACCACCAAACTACAACTCCCAGGATCCCGTAGCATGGAGCCACCACCAAACTACAACTCCCAGGATCCCGTAACATGGAACAACCACCAAACTACAACTCCCAGTATCCCGTAGCATGGAGCCACCACCAAACTACAACTCCCAGGATTCTGTAGCATGGAGCCACCAAACTACAACTCCCAGGATCCCATAGCATGGAGCCACCACCAAACTACAACTCCCAGGATCCCGTAGCATGGAGCCACCACCAAACTACAACTCCCAGGATCCCATAGCATGGAGCCACCACCAAACTACAACTCCCAGGATCCCGTAGCATGGAGCCACCACCAAACTACAACTCCCAGGATCCCGTAGCATGGAGCCACCACCAAACTACAACTCCCAGGATCCCGTAGCATGGAGCCACCACCAAACTACAACTCCCAGGATCCCGTAGCATGGAGCCACCACCAAACTACAACTCCCAGGATCCCGTAGCATGGAGCCACCACCAAACTACAACTCCCAGGATCCTGTAGCATGGAGCCACCACCAAACTACAACTCCCAGGATCCCGTAGCATGGAGCCACCACCAAACTACAACTCCCAGGATCCCGTAGCATGGAGCCACCACCAAACTACAACTCCCAGGATCCCGTAGCATGGAGCCACCACCAAACTACAACTCCCAGGATCCCGTAGCATGGAGCCACCACCAAACTACAACTCCCAGGATTCTGTAGCATGGAGCCACCACCAAACTACAACTCCCAGGATCCCATAGCATGGAGCCACCACCAAACTACAACTCCCAGGATCCCATAGCATGGAGCCACCACCAAACTACAACTCCCAGGATCCCGTAGCATGGAGCTACCACCAAACTACAACTCACAGGATCCCGTAGCATGGAGCCACCAAACTACACCTTCCAGGATATCGTAGCACGGAGCCACCACCAAACGACAACTCCCAGAATCCTGTAGCATGGAGCCATAGCAGTTCGAGTGATGTCAAAGTACGGTCATTCCAAAGTGTAGATGCAACCCAAAGCCAATGACACTTCATGCATGTTGATGCATGGCATCAAAATAAGAGCTTTCTTTGGGTTGGCACTGGGTGCAAGTCTAATCAATTAGGCCCAATTATGCAACAGAGGATTGTATGCAAAAGAATTGGCTCTGCTTTCTCAGGATTAGTGACGGAGGCCTGTTGCCTTGCAAAACCCGAACCATTTATAGGAATTGGCTCCCTTTTTTCCCCGACTCCGCATTCCTGGGCTGCCAAGTCATCCCGATTGTGATGATTGGGTGTCTGTTGATTAAGGAGCGATTTGCTCCTATTAGGATGACGCTCTCTCCTTCTTTCCTCGTTATGAGGGTTTTTTTTAATTGCAATGACTGGATTCCTCTGGCTGGGCAAAAGGATGAGTCAGGAGCGAGTTTTGGGTAACATCTCAGCAGATATTTTGGGAATAATACAACGACGGCCTCTTTTTCCCCTCAAGCTCTTGAGCTCCGATTGCGACATACTGATTCCAACTAAAATATGTTATCTTTTTATAGAACTACACTTTGATATGTGTGTGTGCGTGTGTGTAGCTTTTTTTTGCAATGCTTGGGTCTTTTGATTGTGTTGTGACCCGCCTCGAATCATGAGGAGAGGCGATAAGAAATAAAATAATAATAATAATAATTATTATTATTATTGATATGCCTTTGAGATGCAACTGCAGAAGTCTTTCAACAGAGGTTGGATGGTCATCTGTCGAGAGTGCTTTACTTTAAGAAAAGGTTGGATGGTCATCTGTCAGGACCCATTTAGTGAGCAGACTTCAGGCAGCGCAGAACATTGTGTCCTCCATCTCTGAAGCCAAGAAAGAACAGTGGATCAAGCTGATCACAGAGGTCGACATGGGCAGGAGCAGCCAGAAGGCGTGGAGGTTGCTAAGACGGTTGAGCAACGACCCCTCACAAACTCATACCCATGCCAACATAAAGGCAGATCAGATAGCACACCAACTCTTGAAGAACGGGAAACCCAACCTTGCCACCAAAGTAGGAAAGAAACCAATAGCCAGACAACCAGAGATTGAGAACAACAACCTCCATGAACCTTTTACATCTACTGAATTGGACATGGCTCTCAACAAATGTAAGAATGGCAAAGCAGCTGGCTTGGATGATCTACGGATGGAACAAATCAAGAACTTTGGTCCAAAAGCAAGGCGCTGGCTGCTGGAGCTGATGAACAACTGCACTGCATCCTGTCAGATCCCCAAAATCTGGAGGAAAGCAAGAGTCATCGCCATCTTGAAGCCAGGCAAAGACCGTAATGACCCAAAAAGCTACAGACCAATCTCCCTGTTGTGCCACCTCTACAAAGTTCTGGAGAGACTTATTTTGCATAGAATTATGGAAAATATAGACCCCTGTCTGATCCCACAGCAAGCTGGCTTCAGAAAAGGCAAAAGCTGCACATCGCAAGTGCTGAACCTGACTCAGCACATAGAAGATGGCTTTGAAAGGCAGCAGATCACAGGAGATGTCTTCATAGACCTGTCAGCAGCTCATGATACTGTGAACCATCGCTGCCTCCTCCTGAGAAAAATGTATAATATCACAAAGGACTACCATCTCACCCGTCTCATAGGAAACCTGCTACAAAACAGGAGCTTTTTTGTTGAGTTCCAGGGCCAGAGAAGCAGATGGCGGAAACAGAAGAACGCCTGCCTCAGGGGAGCGTGCTTGCTCCATCCATGTTCAACATCTACACAAATGACCAGCCACTGCCAGGAGGGACAGAGAGTTTCATCTATGCTGATGATCATGCCATCACCACTCAAGGAAATCAGCTACCGAACAGGAGCTTTTTTGTTGAAGCAGATGACGGAAACAGAAGAACGACCTGCCTCGGGGGAGCGTGCTCGCTCCATCCATGTTCAACATCTACACAAATGACCAGCCACTGCCAGAAGGGACAGAGAGTTTCATCTATGCTGATGACCGTGCCATCACCGCTCAAGCAGGGAGCTTTGAGATGGTTGAACAGAAGTTCTCCGAAGCTCTAGGTGCTCTTACTGCCTATTACAGGGAAAACCAGCTGATCCCTAATCCATCTAAAACACAGACATGTGCCTTTCATCTCAAGAACAGACAAGCATCCCGAGCTCTGAGGATTATTACCTGGGAAGGAATCCCACTGGAGCATTGCAGTGCACCCAAATCCCTGGGAGTCACTCTGAACTGTGCTCTGACCTACAAGAAGCACTGCCTGAATATGAAGCAAAAAGTGGGTGCTAGAAACAATATCACACAAAAGCTGACTGGCACAACCTGGGGATCACAACCAGACACAGTGAAGACATCTGCCCTTGCGCTATGCTACTCTGCTGCTGAGTACGCATGCCCAGTGTGGAACACATCTCACCACGCTAAAACAGTGGATGTGGCTCTTAATGAGACATGCCGCATTATCACGGGGTGTTTGCGCCCTACACCACTGGAGAAATTACACTGCTTAGCCGGTATTGCACCACCTGACATCCACCGGGAAGTAGCAGCCAATAGTGAAAGGACCAAGGCAGAGACATCTCCAGCTCATCCCCTGTTTGGGTATCAGCCAGCACGTCAACGACTTAAATCTAGACATAGTTTTCTAAGATCTACAGAGACACTCGCTGGAACACCTCAGCAATCGAGAGTCCAAAAGTGGCAGGCTCAAACCCAGAACCTCAACCAATGGCTGATGCCAAATGAGAGACTCCCCCCTGGGCACACAGAAGACGGGGCGACTTGGAAGGCACTGAACAGACTGCGCTCTGGCACCACGAGATGGTCCAAGACTCTTGGTCTTGGGAGTTCTGTGTGCCAAATTTGGCTTGATTCTTTTGTTGGTGGAGTTCAGAATGCTCTTTGATTGTAGGTGAACTATAAATCCCAAAAGCTACAACTCCCAAATGACAAAATGAATCCCCCCCCCCCCAACCCCACCAGTTTTCATTTTGGGCGTATCGGATCTTTGTGCCAAATTTGGTCCAGTGACTGAAAATACACCCTGCATATCAGATATTTACATTACAATTCATAACAGTAGCAAAATTACAGTTATGAAGTAGCAACGAAAATAACGTTATGGTTGGGGGTCACCACAACATGAGGAACTGTACTAAGGGGTCGCGGCATTAGGAAGGTTGAGAACCACTGCCTTAACCTGTTCCTCACTCTCCAACCAGAGTCCTAATCTCATATCATGGGACAACAGTAGCAAAATGACAGTTATGAAGTAGCAATGAAGATAATGTTATGGTTGGGGGTCACCACAACATGAGGAACTGCATTAAGGGGTCACGGCATTAGGACCATTGGTTTCTTCTCCTTCGTTGTGCAAGGAATTGTTAACAAAGGTTGATTAAGACACAAAAAAGATTTTTTTATTATTATCCTCAGGGATGTTTCCAAGGGGATTTTGTTTACATTTGGTGCAGTGGTGGCAGACAATAAAGAAGGAAATGCAATTGCATAAACACAGAGTTTTGACCTCCGAAGGAACGTGAGGACGGGCCAAACGTTGCCCCAAATCTTCCACCTTGATCGATTTCCTGGCAAATTCCCACTTCTGGGACCTTTTCCCAGATAGGAGGCTTTTCCTTGACTTCTCCGACTGGCGCGCGATGGCTCAATTCGAGTCGGCGTTCGCACTGGGAGCCTGGAAATGGGAAAAAGAAGAATTCTTTGTAGAATCTGTCAGGGGTGATTTGAATGCAATATTCCTGCTTCTTGGCAGAATGGGGTTGGACTGGATGGCCCAGGAGGTCTCTTCCAACTCTAGGATTCTATGATTCTATGAATGCGTTCCAGTATTTCCTTGAATCTAATGCTCACCTTTTCGGGCTAAACGGCCTTCCAAAATTGGGGTGAGCGTTAGATTCGCATCATATGGTCATCTTAGTGCAGAGCCAAAGGGGAAGATGCACACAGAGCTCCTCTTCGAGGAATGTCATCTCTCATTTAATTCAATTCCATGCTATGCCATGTTAGGATTTGTAGTTTGTTGAGGCACCAGCATTCTTTGTCAGAGAAGGCTCAAGGCTTTGCAAAACTACAGCTCCCATGACTCCATAGCAGGCATCCCCAAACGGTGGCCCTCCAGCTGTTTAGGCTTCCAACTCCCAAAATTCCTGACCAATGAACAACCTGGCTAGGGCTTCTGGGAGTTGCAGGCCCAAATAGCTGGAGGGTGTATGTGTGTGTGTATATGTATATATGTGTACATGTGTATGTGTGCGTCTATGTATATTTATATATGTGTATATATAAATACACATATGTGTGTATATGTCTATGTGTATCACTATATGTGCATGTATATATGTGTATGTATACATGTGCATGTGTATATGTGTATGTATATGTGTTTATTCATATGCATATGTTTGTATGTATATTATTACCTTGCTTTATTTCTCCTATATGTGTATATATGCATGTATATGTGTTTATTCATATGCATATGTTTGTATGTATGTTATTACCTTGCTTTATTCCTCCTATATGTGTTTATGTGTATGTATACATGTGCATGTACATGTGTTTATGCCTATGTGTGTATGTATATTATTATTACCTTGCTTTATTTCTCCTGTATGTGTGTATGTGTATGTATGCATATGCATGTATATATGTGCATGTATATGTGTTTATTCATATGCATATGTTTGTATGTATATTATTATTACCTTGCTTTATTTCTCCTGTATGTGTGTATGTGTATGTATGCATATGCATGTATATATGTGCATGTATATGTGTTTATTCATATGCATATGTTTGTATGTATATTATTATTACCTTGCTTTATTTCTCCTATATGTGTATATGTGTATGTATACATGTGCATGTATATATGTGCATGTATATGTGTTTATTCATATGCATATGTTTGTATGTATATTATTATTACCTTGCTTTATTTCTCCTATATGTGTATATGTGTATGTATACATGTGCATGTATATGTATTCATGCATATGTGTGTATGTATATTATTATTACCCTGCTTTATTTCTCCTGTATATGTATATCTGTACATAAATGTATGTGTACATGTGCAAGTATATATGTGTATGTATACATATGCATGTATATATATGCATGTATTTGTGTTTGTGCATATGCATATGTGTGTATATTATTATTACCTTGCTTTATTTTTCCTGTATGTGGATATCTGTACGTATACATATGCATGTATATATGTGCATGTATATGTCTTTATTCATATGCATATGTTTGTATGTATATTATTATTACCCTGCTTTATTTCTCCTGTGTGTGTATATGTGTATGTATACATGTGCATGTATATGTATTCATGCATATGTGTGTATGTATATTATTATTACCCTGCTTTATTTCTCCTGTATATGTATATCTGTACATAAATGTATGTGTACATGTGCAAGTATATATGTGTATGTATACATATGCATGTATATATGTGCATGTATATGAGTTTATGCATATACATATGTGTGTATGTATATTATTATTACCCTGCTTTATTTCTCCTGTAGATGTATATCTGTACATAAATGTATGTGTACATGTACATGTATATATGTGTATGTATATGAGTTTATGCATATGCATATGTGTGTATTTATATTATTATTACCCTGCTTTATTTCTCCTGTATGTGTATATGTGTACATATAAATGTGCAACTATATATGTGCATGTATATGTATTTATGCATATGTGTGTATGTATATTATTATTACCCTGCTTTATTTCTCCTGTATATGTATATCTGTACATAAATGTATGTGTACATGTGCATGTATATATGTGTATGTATACATATGCATGTATATATGTGCATGTATATGAGTTTATGCATATGCATATGTGTGTATGTATATTATTATTATTATTATTATTACCCTGCTTTATCTCTCCTGAAGGAGACTCAAAGCGGCTTAACGTAAAAGCACCAGCATACAATTTAGAATATGCAAACATGCAAACATTAAAACAGGGTTAAATATAAACAGTATATAAAAATTCCCAGTTAAAACATATTCATAGGACAAGCTATATTATACACACACACACACACACACACACACACTTGATCTTAGCCGCACACACACACACACAAATACATATGTACATTTACAAATAGTTCTACATGTGAATGGAACAAGCAATCCAAAGCGCAGTGATTCCTTCCATTGGGAACGTCAGGGGCAGGATATTATCCTTATTATTCTTGTATAGTCACACTAGACTAGAGACACAATCGCACATGGAGAACTACATAACCCAAGACCTCCCTTACCGGCGGCTGTTGCTCCTCTTCGCGGCTCTGTTTCAAGCACTCATAGGCATCCATGATCACAGCTCTCCTACAAAAAAAAGGCAAAAAAATGAGATTTTCTGGAAAATTAGATCAACTGTTATTATCCACCTCGATTATTGGTGCCATCGATAATCTATATAAATAAAAATGTTATATTCGTTTGTGGGATTAACAGAACTCAAAAACCACTGGACGAATTGACACCAAATTTGGACACAAGACACCTAACAACCCAATGTATGTCCTTCACTAAAAAAAAAATATTTTGTCATTTGGGAGTTGTAGTTGCTGGGATTTATAGTTCACCTACAATCAAAGAGCATTCTGATCCCCACCAATGATGGAATTGAACCAAACTTGGCACACAGAACTCCCATGACCCACATAAAATACTGGAAGGGTTTGGTGGGCATTGACCTTGAGTTTGGGAGTTGTAGTTCACCTTCATCCAGAGAGCACTGTGGACTCAAACAAGGATGGATCTGGACCAAACTTGGCACCAATACTCAATATGCCCAAATGTGTACACTGGTGGTGTTTGGGGGAAATAGACCTTGACATTTGGGAGTTGTAGTTGCTGGGATTTATAGTTCACCTTCAATTACAGAGCATTCTGAACCCTACCAATGATAGAATTGGGCTGAACTTCTCACACAGAACCCCCAAGTGGGTCTCAGCAACGCATGGCAGGGGACGGCTAGTCAATAGTAAGTGAATAAGAATCAAGACTTAGAGCAACTAGGAACAGAGGGAGGCTGGACTAGATGGCCTTTGGAGCCCCTTCCAAGTCTGTGATTACAAAAACCCCATACTTCTATGAAGAAGAGCCAGGTGTTGTGCTTTGCAACAACAGCACCCAACATCCCCAGCCAACATGGGTGCCAGGAAAAAGGTTTTGGAAAACTACATCTCCCATAACGTGGCCATATCGCCCGAAAAAACCTAAAACAACCCAACTACATCTCCCATTGTTTACGAATTAGGCTTTCTAGGGAAAGTCCTAAGCTAGCAATGCCAGGATTACTGGGTTGCTGTGAGTTTTCCAGGCTGCATGGTCATGTTCCAGCAGCATTCTGTCCTGATGTTTCATCTTCATTTGTGGCTAATGGCATCTTCAAAGGTCTGTTGGCAGTCAGGCAAGTGGAGTGCATATATATACCTGTGGGATGATATCCAGAGTGGGAGGACGAACCCTAGTCTGTGTAAAACAAGTGTGAATTTTGCAATTAGCAAGCCTGAATAGCATTGAGTAGCCATGGAGCTGCAAAGCCAATCAGAGAAGGTATCTGCATAGAGGTGGCCTGGCTGTTGTTGCCTGGAGGCATCCTCTGTTTGGGAGGTATTAACTAGCACTTGGTTGTTTGTTATCTGGAGTTCTCCTGTTTCTAAGTGATGTTCTTTATATACTGTATTGATTCTGGTGATATATACATACATACTAGCTGTACCCGCCACACATTGCTGTGTCCAACGTTCCCTCCCTCTTTGTCTTCCTTCTTTCTCTCCTTCCTTTCCTCGCTTTTTCCTTCCTTCCTTCCTTCCTTCCTTCCTTCCTTCCTCCTTCCTTCCTTCCTTCCTTCCTTCCTTCCTTCTCTTTCTTTCTTTCTTTCTTTCTTTCTTTCTTTCTTTTCTTTCTTTCTCTCCTTCCTTCCTTCTCTACCTCTTTCCTTCTTCCCCCTCCCTTTTTCTTTCCCTTTTTTCCTCTCCTTTCTTCCTTCTCTACTTCTTTCTTTCCTTCTTTCTCTCCTTCCTTCGCTCCTTCTTTCCTTCTTTCCTTCTTTCCTTCCTTCCTTCCTTCCTTCCTTTCTTCCTTCCTTCCTTCCTTCTCCTTCCTTCCTTCCTTCTCTACTCTTCTTTCTTCCCCCTTTCTTTCTTCTCCTTCTTCTTTCTCTACCTCTTTCCTTCCTTCCTTCTCTCCTTCCTTCCTTCCTTCCTCCTTCCTTCTCCCTCTTCCTTCCTTCCCCTCCCTTTTTCTTTCCCTTTTTTCCTCTCCTTTCTTCCTTCTCTACCTCTTTCCTTTCTTCTTTCTCACTCTCTTTCTTTCTCTCTCTCCTTCCTTCCTTCCTTCCTTCCCTCCCTTTCTTTCTTTCTTTCTTTCTTTCTTTCTCTCCTTCCTTCCTTCTCTACCTCTTTCCTCCCTTCTCCTCCCTTTTTCTTTCCCTTTTCCTCTCCTTTCTTCCTTCTCTCCCTCTTTCTTTCTTTCTTTACCTCCTTCCTTCGCTACCTCTTTCCTTCCTTCCCTTATTTTCTTTCCTTCTTCTTTCCTTCTCTACCTCTTTCCTTTCTTTCCCTTTTTTTCCTCTCCTTTCTTCCTTCTCTACCTCTTTCCTTCCTTCCTTCCTTCTCTACCTCTTTCCTTCCTTCTTTCCCTCCTTCCTTCACTCCCTCTTTCCTGCCTTTTCTCCCACCCTGGACATTATTCCACAGGGATATATACACTTCACTTGATTCACTATGCAGAGACCCTCACTGATTGACTTTGCAGCTGCAAGGCTACTCATTGCTGTTCAAGCTTGCTGATCGCAACATCCACACTTGCTTTACACAGACAAGGGTTCTTTCTCCCACCCTGAGCATTATTCCACAGGTATATATAAACTCCACTTGCTTCATTACCTCTATGCAAAGACCCTCACTGACTGACTTTGCAGCTGCAAGGCTACTCAGTGCTATTCAAGCTTGCTAATTGCAACATTCACACTTGCTTTACACAGACAAGGGTTCTTTCTCTCACCCTGGGCATTATTCCACAGGTATATATAAATTCCACTTGCGTCAATACCTCTATGCATATGCCCTCACTGACTGACTTTGCAGCTTCATGGCTACTCAGTGCTATTAAAGCTTGCTAATTGCAACATCCACACTTGTTTTACACAGAGAAGGCTTCTTTCTCCCACATATATACACTCCACTTGCTTCACTCCCAAAAGGGCCTCTGAAGATGCTATTAGCCACAGATGCAGGTGAAGCGTCAGGAGAGAATGCTGCTGGAACAGAACCATACAGCCCGAAAAACTCACAGCAACCCGGTGAGTGATTCTGGCCATGAAAGCCTTCGACAACACAATGCTAGGATTAGTTTTGGGTTTCCCTCGCACAGCCTGGTATTGGATCAGGGTGGAAATGGGATTCAATCTAAAGGCATTTGGGGGGAGAATCCTATACGTTTAGAGTCCAGGACTGGGGGGGAAAGAAGGGCTTTGTACTTACTTGCTTGCCAAACCTCCTCCGGGAGGAAGGCCTGGGTTGGCTTCAGCGGCCAGGCAGCGGAAGACCCCCACCAGGCTGGGACCCCCCTCCTCCTGCTGCTGCAGTTGATCATAAAGCTCTGGTATAATAATAATAATAATAATAATAATAATAATAATAATAATAATAATAATAGATCGAGACTGGTTTTCAGGCATGGGCCAACTTTGGCCCTTCCAGGTGTTTTGGACTTCAACTCCCACAATTCCTAGCAGCCTACCGGTTGCTAGGAATTGTGGGAGTTGAAGTCCAAAACGCCTGGAAGGGCCAAAGTTGGCCCATGCCTGCTTTAGTTCACCTATCATTTCACTCCAGAAGTGCCTCCTCCTTTGGATCACATCATGCAACACAATTTGAAAAATGTTCTGTTCCTGGTTGGAAAGTGTAATTTCCTGTTTACTTTGAAAGTAGTTGATTTCCTCCAGTCCTGACCAAACTTTCTAACTTGGAGGTCCGCATTCTAGCACTCCCTGTTAAGAGGACTGGCTGCCCAGTGATGGGTGGATGGATGGAAGGAAAGAAAGAAGGAAGGAAGGAAGGAAGGAAGGAGAAAGAGTAAGAGAGGGAAGGAGGGAGGAAACAGGGATGGAAGAAAGGAGAAAGAGGGAAAGAGGGAGAAAAGAGAGAAGGAAGCAAAGACTAAAGGGAAGGAAAGAAGGAAAGAGAAAGAGGGAGAGAAGGAAGGAGGGAGGAAAGAGGGAAGGAAGGAAGGAGAAAGAGTAAGAGAGGGAAGGAGGAAGGAAAGAGAGAAGGAATGAAAGACAAAAAGGAAGGAAGAAGAAAGAGGGAGAGAGGGAAGGAGGGATAAAAGAGGGAAGGAAGGAAAGACAAAAGGGAAAGAAGGAGAAAGAGGGAGAGAGGGAAGGAAGGAGGAAAGAGGTAAGGAAGGAAAGACAAAAGGGAAGGAAGGAGAAAGAGGGAGTGAGGGAAGGAGGGAGGAAAGAGGGAAGGAAGGAAAGGCAAAAGGGAAGGAAGGAGAAAGAGGGAGAGAGGGAAGGAGGGAGGAAAGATGGAAGGAAAGAGAAAAGGGAAGGAAGGAAGAAGAAAGAGGGAGAGGGAAGGAGGGATGAAAGAGGTAAGGAAGGAAAGACAAAAGGGAAGGAACGAAGGAGAAAGAGGGAGTGAGGGAAGGAGGGAGAAAAGAGAAAAGGAAGGAAAGACAAAAGGGAAGGAAGGAAGGAGAAAGAGGGAGTGAGGGAAGGAGAGAGGAAAGAGATAAGGAAAGACAAAAGGGAAGGAAGGAAGGAGAAAGAGTAAGAGAGGGAAGGAAGGAGGAAAGAGGGAAGGAAAGACAAAAGGGAAGGAAAGAAGAAGAAAGGGAGTGAGGGAAGGAGGGAGGAAAGTGGGAAGGGAGGAAAGGCAAAAGGGAAGAAAGGAAGGAGAAAGAGGAGAAAGAGGGAGAGAGAGAAGGAGGGAGGAAAGAGGGAAGAAAGGAAAGACAAAAGGGAAGGAAAGAAAAAGAGGGAGAGGGGGAAGGAGGGAAGAAAGAGGGAAGGAAGGGAAGGCAAAAGGGAAGGAAGGAAAAAGAGGAGAAAGAGGGAGACGGAGAAGGAGGGAGGAAAGATGGAAAGAAAGACAAAAGGGAAGGAAGGATGAAAGGGTGGAAGGGAAGGACTGAAGAAAGGAAGGAAAAGAGGAAGAAAAAAGAGGACAAAGGGAAAGAAGATAAGGATGGAAGGAGAAAGAGGTAGAGAGAGGGAGGGCTGGAGGAAGGAAAGAGAGAAGGAAGGAAGGATGAAAGGAAGGAAAGGGTGGAAGGAGAAAGAGGGAGTGAAGGAAGAAGGGAGGAAAGAGGGAAGGGAGGAAAGACAAAAGAAAAGGAAGGAAGGATGAAAGTGTGGAAGGGAAGGAAGGAAGGGATAAAGGAAAGAGAGAAGGAAAGAAATAGAAAAGGGAAGGAAGGATGAAATGGTGGAAGGGAATGGAGGGAGGGAGGGAGAAAGAGGGAGGTGAGGGAGGAAAGACAATGAAGGAAAGACAAAGGGGAAGGAAGGAAGGGAAGATGGAAGGACGACAAGGAGGAAGGAGGAAAGAAGAAAGAGTAGAAGGTAATGGAAGGAGGAAGAAGAAGAGAGGGGAGGGAGGAGAGAGAAGGAGGGAAATACAAAAGAAAAGGAAGGAAGGAGAGGGAGAGAGAAAAGGAAGGATAAAAATGTGGAAAGGAAGAAGGGAGGGAGAAAGAGGAAGGGAGGAAAGAGAGAAGGAAGGAAAGAGAAAAGGGAAAGGAAGGGAGGAAGGAAGGAAAGAAGGAAGGAAGGAGAAAGAGGGAGAGAGGGAAGGAAGGACGAAAGGATGGAAGGGAAGGAGGGAGGGAGAAAGGGGTAGAAACGGGTGAGGGAGGGAAGAAAGGAAGGAGTAAGAGGGAGGGAAAGAAAGAGAGAAGGAAGGAAGGAAGGGATGATGTAAGAGAGGAAGGCCTGAGAAAAGTTCTCAAGGGGCCACATGTGACCCCCGGGGTTTACCGATACGTATTCTACTCCATAAACTTTGTTTTTGTGCCACAAACTCTGTTGAATTGATTGAGACTCGATGAGATATTTATTGGAAAACTATTCCAAAATGTGCTGCCAAATGTCCCTCCTGCAGAAACAACGTTTTGGCAGTTTAATAAACTTTCCCCATGTTTTGATTAGAGAATTGTCCTAGCGACAAGAGCTAAGTCTTCTTAACAACGTAGGAAGTCCAACTGGCAAATATGATATTAATACCTTATCATCAGCATATAGCAAAGTGTTACAGTATGTATTTAGGACTTTAGGCATATTAAATTTGGATAACTTTCTCCATGTTTTTATGATAGAACCAATTAGGAAATGGCATTGATAACCCAGGAACAAAAATCATAGTGTTACATAATGTAATAGAAATATAAAATAATAGAAATATAATACCCTTAAAGCGTAAAAATAAGACATAATATACATTTAAATGTTATTATTTATTATGCTATTTATTTATACCCCACTTTAATAGTAACTTTAAAAGTAACTTTAAAAGTAATACTATATATATATATATATATATATATATATATATATATGCAGCGTTTTCATGAGATCGGTTGTGTCCCCATACGTTTTGTTATTATTCATTATTACACTTTATATATGTATCTGTATGTCATGTAAGGGGTCGGTTAAGCTGTTTCTGTGTCACGAAATGATGCATTTAATAAACACGGTGTGTGTCTTCAACATGAAATGCCTGGAAAGCTGTGACGGGGAGGATGCCCTAGGATGCCCCGCATGGACTTACCTGCCACCCGCTTCTCCAGGTGAGCGTCCAACTCAAGCTCCTGTTGCAAAGCCTCCTGGGAGACGCCCGGGGCAGCTGGGAAACAGATCACAATGCAAGTCATGTTGTCGCGGCTTCCCTGCGGGAGAACTCAGAATCAGACACCTGCAGCAGGACTTTGGGGGATTTTTCACATGTACATATATATGTATAGACACATATGTGTTTATGTGCATGTGTATATGAGTGTGTATAGGTATGAATGTCTATATGTGTATATCTATATGTCTATGTGTATGTTTATGTGTGTATATGTGCATTTATACATATGCATGTGTTTATGTGTATGTGTATATGAGTATGTATATAGGCATGAATGTCTATATGTGTATGTCTACATGGGTATGTGTATATGTCTATGCTTATGTATGTATATGTGCATGTGTATATGTGAATGTATACACGTGTGTTTATGTGTATGTGTATATGAATGCGTATAGGTATGAATGTCTATATGTGTATGTCTACATGGGTATGTGTATATGTCTATGTGTATGTTTGTGTGTGAATATGTGCATATGTATATGTGTGTGTATACACATGAGTGTGTATGAGTGTGTATAGGCATGCATGTCTATATGTGTATGTCTACATGAGTACTGTATGTGTATATGTCTATGCATATGCTTATGTGTGTATATGTGCATGTGTATATGTGTATGTATACATGCATATGTGTGTATGTGTATATGAGTGTATATAGGAGTATATGTGTATATCTACATGGGTATGTGCATATGCGTATGTATACATACATATGTGTATATGACTATGTCTCTATGTGAATGTGTATATGTATATGTCTATATGCATAAGTTTATGCTGCCCGGAGTCCCCATGGGGGTGGACTACTGGATGGCATATGTTCTGTATGAGAAGCTAGAGCTTATGTGGTCCATCCAATGCAATTTTCTGAACCAGCACCCCAAATCATCAAACTGAATCTCAAGTTGACCAAAAACTGATTCAGAACCCTTTTGGTTCTAGTGTTGGAGAGTGGTCCCTGGTCAAGTGGTCTCTGGTCAAGGGTTGGGAATCACTGATCTACTACACAATTGATCCATTGTTTGTTTCAAAGGAGCCCTCCAAGGTCCTTGTAGAAATAGTGTCCAGTGTGTCCATCATCCAAGTCAAAAAAGAAGCACCATGAAAGCCTTGGCAGACCATGCAAAAAGAACCTGCGAAGCCCACCTCCTCCAAGATGAACTGAACCACCTCAATGGCCAATGGAGACTCCACCTCAGACATCAGAAGAGCTGCAAGACCACCGAGAAGAAGGCACGAGAGTCAAGACAGAGACCCACTCAGAGGGAAAGTGGTCTTGCCAGACATCAAGGGAACCACTGACTGCAGAGGGAAGCTGATGAGGAAACACAACATACAAACTACCTACAGACCCACCAAGAAAATCCAACCAATGCTCCATTCAGCAAAGGACAAGAGGGATCCTCTCACTTCTGCAGGAGTCTCCCGGATACCATGCAGCTGTGGACAAGAAGTCTACATAGGGACCACCAAATACAGCAGTTGCATTGCCCAGACATGAATCAAGGAACATGAAAGGCACTGCAGAGTCCTTCAACCAGAGAAGTCAGCCATAGCAGAGCACCTGAGGAACCAACCTGGACACAGCAGATTATTATTGGAGAACACAGAAATGCTGGACCACTTTCACAACCACCATGTCAGACTACACAGAGAAGCCACTGAAATCCACAAGAGGCATGTGGACAATTTCAGCAGAAAGGAGGAGACCATGAAAATGAACAAAATCTGGCTACCAGTATTAAAAAAAACTCTAAAATTAAAACAGCAAAACAACAGAGAGGAAACAATCAGGAACATCTAATCACCTCCCAACAAAAGATTGCCCCAGGCACTGCCAGCCATCAAATGCTACTCAAGATGGTCAGCTGAAACATTCACACCTAGCTCCAACAGACAAGAGTTCTTTGTCCCACCCTGGTCATTCCACAGATATATAAACCCCTTTTCCCAGTTCCAACAGACCTCACTAACTCTGAGGATGCTTGCCATATGCAGGCGAAATGTCAGGAGAAAATGCCTCTAGAACATGGCCATTTAGCCCAAAAAAACTTACAACAATCCAGTGATTCCGGCCATGAAAGCCTTCGACAATACAGTGTCCAGTGTCTTGGGGGACTCTCTCTGCCATAGAGTTGGCCAAATATCCCTACACTCTTCTCTGCTCTATTAGATGTCAAATATTCCTATAATGCCAACAGGGCACACACAACCTACAGGCATCCAATACACTCTTGCACACATCCTATGGGTTAACTGTCATTATTTGGATGCATAGTTTAAGGGATGGGTTTTAGAAGTCCCTGCATGAGAGCTTAACATATATAAATCCAAGGATTCCACAGAATACACATGCACATTGTGCACACTAATTTGGGGAAGGTCATTTAGCCAAAAAGGTGAGCAATAGATTCGAGTAAATGTGGTATATATCAAATTTTGCTCTTTGCCCTGACCTTACCTTGTAAAGGCAGGCATCCAACACGCATTCACACACATCATGCGGCTTGCCAATGACCCGGAGTCGGGAGCGCACAAAGGCGCACAGCCCAGTGTTGTCGAAGGTGTCCCAGACCCCATCACAAGCTAAGACCAGGAACTCGTCCTCGTCCGGACAGCGGTCTAAATGCTCCACTTCGGGCTCCGGGGAGACCAATTGCTGGACGGCGCTGCACCAAGCCACAGCCTTGTAGTCAAAGTCGCCCAAGGCCCTGGAGACGGCCAAAGAGCCATTCACCCTCTGCAGCATCACGGTGCCACCAGCATTTTCAATGCGCTCTCTCTCTCTTGGTTTGCTGGGCTTGTGGTCATCTGTGTAGAAGGCTACGGCAGCCGAACGGCACAGGAGAGCCCTGGAGTCACCCAAATTGATGAAATAGAAATGTTTGGGTGAGATCAACACTGCGACGGCAGTGGAACCGGCATGCTCCCATGCTTCATCTTGTGAGAGTCCTTGCATGCGCCGGTCAATGGCTAAAAAGGCTTCGCGGATGGCGTCCTTCACCATCTCGGGGTCTTCCTCCTCTCCTTGTTTTGGCAAGGCCTCAGTGGCCAGGACGTGTTCCAGCAAGTGTTTGGCGCAGAACTCGGCCACAGTGTTTCCCGCGTGTCCATCATAGACGGCAAAGAAAGCCCAGTTGGTGAGCGGATCGGGCAACTGAGGTCGGAGCGTGTGGGCATCCTCCATCTGGGCACGCCAACCCTGCATGGAGCCCATGCCGTAGCTTAATCCCGCAACTTCTCCATGTTCTAACAGCTTCTCTGTCCGCGGCGCTGTCAAAAAGGCACGGGGAACTTCGTCCTCTTCTTCCTCCCTCCGGCCTTCCTCTTCCTCCTCTTCCTCGCCACCTTCTTCACTCTTGAAGAGCCGCGACACCATCCGCTCTGCCTCCGACACCACCAGCCGCACAAAGTTGGCCATCCCCGGGCAAAATATTTTCCCGGATTTTGGAGAGGTGGGCTCTTTCAGCCCACCTCTGGCAACTTTAGAAGAAGAACCAAAGCCAAGGCTATTCCTTATGTTGGGAAGCTCGGTGGCCACTGCTTGGCCTCTTGGAGATGTCTGCTCGTTTGCTGGAAGTTGCGCCAATGCCACGATTGGAAGCTCTTGAATCCTAGAAGAATAGAAAGGAGCTAATTTTAAACACTTACTCAGATTTCTAGTGCCCTCTAAGACAAGGCTTATCCTGAAGCAGAAGGGAGCAAGATAGCTTCTTGCTTCCTCAACTTCTGTGGGAGCACAACTGACCTTTGAGTTGGAAAGGACTCAGTGGTGGCTGCCGCTTGGCATTTCAGAGGCACCTTCCTGTTCTCGTTTGCTGGAAGTCGTTCCCAAAAATCTGTAGTTGGAATCGGTGAACCCTAAAAGAAAGCAATGCCAAGCCTCTTCTTTGTTTTGGGAGAGAGTCAGCTGTGGTGACAGTTTGGCATTTCAGAGATGCCCAATTTGCTGGAAGTTGCTATCCAAAATCTGTAGCTGATGCCACAACTGGAATCTGCAAATCCTAGAAGAAGGAAGTGCCAAAGCTCTTCCTTTGGTTTGGAGGGACTCAACTGTGGATACCGTTTGGCATTTCGGAGGCACCCAATTGTTCCAGCTGGAAATTAACAAAAAAATAGAATAGATTGGAATCTGTGACTCTTGGAATGAAGAAATGCCAATGCGCTTCTTTGGGTTTGGAGGAACTCAGCTTTGGAGAAACTCGCTGGGCATTTCGGAGGTGCTCGTTCAAGTTTGCTGGGAGTTCAATCCCCCAAAATGGAATTGATTTCAGTCTTCAGATTCAGGAATGAAGGAACCTCCAAAGCTTTCCCTTTTGTCGAGAAGGACTTAGCTGTCAATCGCTAGAAATCCAAAATCTGTAGCTGGTGCCACAACTAAAGTTTGTAAATCCAAGAAGAAGGGAATGCCAAGGTTCCTGCTTTTGGTTCAGCTGTGGCTACGGCTGGACCTTTCGGAGATGCCCGCTTTTTCTGCTTCGCTGGGCATTCTCTTTGCAAATCCACCGCTGAGCTTTGGACGTCACCGTCGTGAATTTGGGGACCTTAATCTCGACGCGAGGCGATGACTCACTTGTCAAGGAAAGCTGTTTAATATGGCGGTTTGGCTCACCCCGAAGTCGCCCCGTCGAAATGCCAATTCCTTCGTTTGGGAGGGACTCAGCAGTGGCATTTCAGAGGAGCCTCGCAATAGGTTGGATGGGAGTATTGACCCCTGAGCCCGTGGCTTTGGACGTCACCGTTGTCCATTTGGGGACCTTAATCCCCGAAGGCGATGTATGACTCACTCGTCAAGGAAAGCCCTTTAAGACGGCTTTAAGGTTGCCCCATTGGCTCCTTTGCTAGCCCAGTGGCATCTCGCCATCCACCGTCCACGCGTTCACCTCTTCTCAATGCTCCCTTTGTGCCCCAAAAACTCTCTGCATCTCTTTCAGGCCATCACTGGGTCATCTTGCGCTGGCCATCTGCCCGAAGCCTCTTCTGATTGGCTCGGCGTTGGCCCAGCAGTGCTAATCCCTTCATCCCGCAGCTAAATATGGAGGTTTAAACCCTGCTAATCCCCACGCGCTGTGATGCAGAAGCCACCCCATTGCCTGACCTGCTTGGGTCACTTGCTGGCCTTACCTTTTTGGTCAGCTAAATGGACGTTTACACGTGTCGGATCCTCCATTACCAAGCAGTGACGGCTAAAGGCTGTGTGCAAGCCCAGATGGGCCAAATGTGCAAAATCTTGGCATGCAAACCAGTCTGCAGCTTCCCAAGGAGACTTCGGTGCATCTATATCAGGTATGGTCCAACTCCGGCCCTCCAAGTGTCTCAACAGTCCATAGGCTGTTAGGAATTGTGGGAGTTGAAGTCCAAAATACCTGTTGGGCCAAAGTTGGCCCATGCCTGATCTATATTGTAGAACGAACACAGTTGGGCATCACTTTGACCACCGTGTTGTAGTTTGCACAGAGTTGCAGTTTGCACAGAGAAGGTTAAGGGCCTTGTAAATCTACAACTCCCACATTTCCATCGCATTGAGCTACAACAGTCCAAGTTGAGAAGGAACTGTCAATTCCACAATGTGGATGCACCCTTTGCAAAACTACAGATCCCAAGATTACGTATTATTGCCAAAGAGCATTGGTGCTTCACAAAACTATAACTCCCAGAATCCCATAGCATTGAGTTTTGGATGTCGCATATTATTATATTGTACCTTTTCTGCCAAAGAGCACTGGTGCCTCGCAAAACTATAACTCCCAGGATCCTATAGCACCGAGCCTTGGCAGTCCAATTGAGGTAAAGCCATCAATTCTTCAATACAGAGACACCCTTTGCAAAACTACAGATCCCGGGATTACATATTGTTGTGCCTTCTCTGCCAAATGGCACTGGTGCTTCATGAAACATTAAATCCCAGGATCCCACAGTCCAATGAGGTCAAGCCGTGGATCCCACAATGTATATGCGTCCTTTGTGGAGCTACAGATCCCAAGATTACATATTATTGTCAAAGAGCATTGGTGCTTCATAAAACTATAACTCCCAGAATCCCATAGCCAGTCCATCCTCCAGGAAAGAAAGCCCGGCTGCTCACTGGAGGGAAGGAGACTAGAGACAAAGTGGAAGTCCTTTGGCCACATCCTGAGGAGACAGCAAAGCCTGGAGAAGACAATTACGCTGGGGAAAGTGGAAGGTAAAAGGAAGAGGGGCCGACCAAGGGCAAGATGGATGGATGGCATCCTTGAAGGGACTGGACTGACCTTGAAGGAGCTGGGGGTGGTGATAGCCAACAGGGAGCTCTGGCATGGGCTGGTCTGTGAGGTCACAAAGAGTCGGAGACGACTGAACGAATGAACAACAACAACAAACAAGCAGGAAATAACAACAACAACAACACAAGAGCGGATACAATAAGACTTTATTTATTTATTTATTTATTTACCATATTTGTATACTGCCTTTCTCAGCCCGGAGGCAACTCAAGGTGGTTCTTAGTCGGCAACAATTCGATGCCACAGCAATTAAAAGACAATTAAAACAGTCATAAATACATATAGATATATAAACCCTTTTTCCTAGTTCCAACAGACCTCACTACCTCTGAGGATGCTTGCCATAGATGCAGGCGAAACGTCAGGAGAGAATGCCTCTAGAACATGGCCATACAGCCCGAAAAAACCTACAACAACCCAATGCATATAGTATTTTAAAAAGTACATCAGGCTAAGTCTCCTTTAGGAGAGGAGAGTGGAAAATCAGGAGGAGAGTGGAACTATTCCATGCCAGTTGCAAGGCGCTTTCCATGGTGCTGAAAACACAGCATATTGCATCTTCAGCACCATGGACAGCGCTGCGGAGAAAACCTGGGGTGGATCTCCATTCCTTGCTGAGACTGGCTCTTCCTGCTCCTTCTTTCCCTGCTTTGCAGGGGAAGGGGCAGGACCGAGGATGATGGACAGGTGGGGACGCCAAGTCCCACCCCTTCCTTCCTCTTTCCCTGCCAATTCTCCCTTGCAGACTTTGCAAGGCGCTTTCCATGGTGCTGAAAACCCAACCTCATTGCATCTTCAGCACTATGGACAGCGCTGGGAAGAAAACCCGGGGTGGATCTCCATTCCTTGCTGGGATTGGCTCTTCCTGCTCCTTCTGTTTTGCAGGGGAAGGGGCGGGGCCGAGGATGATGGACAGGTAGGGAAGCCAAGCCCCGCCCCTTCCCTCCTCCTTCCCTCCTTCCCTCTTTCCCTGCTTCTCCTCCTCCTTCTCCTCCTCTTCTAGGACCCCCTCCTTCCCGGCCACACCCTGTGCCCCCCCCTAAAAAACACCCTCCTCTCCACCCCCTTCTCCACCCCTTTCCCTTCCCCTCCATCCTTTCCAAATAACCCCCCTTCTTTTCCTCGTTCTCCTCCTTCTTTTTGTCTGCAGCATCCTCTTTGTCTTCCCTCCAGCATCCCTTCCTCTCCTTCTCCTCCTCCTCCTCTTTTTGGGATGAAGGGGGGGCTCAATGATGGGCCCTCCATGGCTACGATGAGCCTGGGGAGGGGGCCCAGGGGGAGGAGGAGGAGGAAGAAGAGGAAGAGGAAGGAGGAGGAGGAGGAAGGGGGAGGCTTGGGCCCCGGAGGACGGGGCGGGGGGGCCTCTCGCATGGACCTGGAGCCGGACGGTGGCCATGGGGCAAGTCCTGGGGTTTGCCCACTGCAGTAGGTATCTTTGGGAAGGGGGGGAGGGGGGGCAAAAGGGAGGGAGGGTCCCAATGGTGGGGGTTGGAGGAGGGATTTGCCCCTCTTCTTTCTCTCTCTCTTTTTCTTTCTTCTCTCTTTTTTCTTTTCTCTTTCTTCTTTCCTTTCTCTCTCTTTCCTTTCTTTCTTTTTCTGACAACCAATAGGGAAGGAGTCGCTCTGCCATTGGCTAAGATTGAATCTGTGACAGCCAATAGGAAAGGAGTAGGTTTACCATTGGTTGAGAGTGATTCTGCAACAGCCAATAGGGTGGAGTAGCTTTGCCACTGGTTAAGACTGAGTCTGTGACAGCCAATAGGGAAGGAGTTGCTCTGCCATTGGCTAAGAGTGAATCTGCGACAGCCAATAGGGAAGGAGTAGCTTTGCCATTGGTTAAGACTGAGTCTGTGACAACCAATAAGAAAGGGGTTGCTCTGCCATTGGCTAAGATTGAATCTGTGACAGCCAATAGGGAAGAGTAGCTTTACTATTGGTTAAGACTGAGTCTGTGACAACCAATAGGGAAGGAGTTGCGCTGCCATGGGCTAAGATTGAGTCTGCGATAACCAATAGGAAAGGAGTAGCTTTACCATTGGCTAAGATTGAGTTTGCAATAACCAATAGGAAAGGAGTAGCTTTACCATTGGTTAAGACTGAGTCTTCAACAACCAATAGGGAAAGAGTTGCTCTGCCATTGGCTAAGATTGAATCTGTGATGGCCAATAGGAAAGGAATTACTCTGCCATTGGTTAAGATTGAGACTAACACAACCAATAGGGAAAGAGTCACTCTGCCATTGGGCGACAGCACAGCCAATGAGGGTTCCCCTTGCTTCCAGTAGCGGTCACTGTCCCAATCCTCTTGGCACTCGGAGAAGGACGGCTTGGCCGGGTGCCACCTTGACCACCTCCATGTTGACCTCTGTTTGGGACACCAAGGCAGTGTTAAAGAGGATCTTGGCTGGGGCCGGGATGCCCAGTTGCTCCAGGCGCAGCTGGAAGGGGTACGACCCCAGGTTGAGGACCACCAGGATGCCGGAACAGGACCCCGGCCGAATGAAGGACAAGACGTTCACGGAGGGGTCAGCGAGGGTCAGCGGAGCAAAACCAGTTCCACGAAGAGGGGAGGAATTCGCTCGCAGGGCCAGGAGAGAGCGGTAGACATTCGCCAATGGGTGCCCGTTGGTGTTTCCGTTCTGCAAGATACATAAAGAAAGGGGTGCGTATCTACACCAGGCATGCTCTACACAGTGTGTAGATGCATCTGATTATTCTTGAAGGTCAAGAATGGAAAGGTTTCCTATTCTTACCATGGGGTCTCTCTCCAGATGAATTGGGGAACCCTTTCCTCCTGGCAATAAAGGGACTCCTGGCAAGGTGAGAAGCAGGACCCCCAACATTTGCCCCAAATTATTATCCACTAGTAGACTCTGCGGCACCTGGAAGGAAGGAAGAAGGAAAGAACGAAGGAGTGCCAGACATAATCCACCTCTTCTTATTCTAATATTATATCCCTGTGCACAAACACACACACAAGCTGTATCCACCACGCATTGCTGTGGGCAACCTTCCCTTCCTCTTTCTCTCCTTTCTCTCCTTCCTTTGCTCCCTCTTTCCTTCCTTCCCTTCTCTTCTTTCCTTCTCTTCTTCCTTTGATTTTTGCTTCCATCCTTCCTTCTCTCTTTCCTTCCCTCCCTCTTCCTCTCCTTTCTTCCTTCTCTACTTCCTTCCTTCCTTCGCTTTCTGCTTCCATCCTTTCTTCTCTCTTTCCTTCTCTACTTCTTTCCCTCCTTCCTCCTCTACCTCTTTCCTTTCTTCCCCCTTTTCCTTTTCTTTCTTCTTTCGCTCTTCTCTTCTTTCCTTCCTTCTCTTCCTTCTTCCTTCCCTCCCTCTTTCTCTACATCTTCCCCCTTCCTTAACTCCCTCTTCCTTCCTTCATTCCCTTTTCTTCTTTCCTTCTCTCCTTCCTCCTTCCTTTCTTCCCTTCTTCTATCTTTCCTTCCTTCCATCCTTTCTTCTCTATTTCCTTCTCTCCTTCTTTCCCTCCTTCCTTCTCTACCTCTTTCCTTTCTTCCCCCCTTTGCCTTTTCCTTCTTCTTTCGCTCATTCTCTACCTCTTTCCTTCCTTCTCTCTTTCCTTCTTTCCTTCCCTCCCTCCCTCTTTTTTGACATCTTCCCCCCTTCCTTTGCTCCTTCCTTCCCTTTTCTTCTTTCCTTCTCTCCTTCCTTCCTTTGCTTTTTGCTTCCATCCTTTCTTCTCTCTTTCCTTCTTTCCCTCCTTCCTTCTCGACCTCTTTCCTTCCTTTCTTTGCTTTCTGCTTCCATCCTTTCTTCTCTCTTTCCTTCTTTCCCTCCTTCCTTCTCTGCCTCTTTCCTTCCTTCCTTTGCTTTTTGTTTCCATCTTCTCTCTTTCCTCCTTTCCTTCTCTCCTTCTCTCCCTCCTTCCTTCTTTCCCTTTTTCTTTCTTCCCCCTTTTTCTTTTCCTTCTCCTTTCTCTCCTTCTCTACCTCTTTCCTTCCTTCCCTCCATCTTTCTCTACATCTTCCCCCCTTCCTTCGCTCCCTCTTTCCTTCTCTCTTTCCCTTTTTTCTTTCCTTCACTCTTTGCTTCCCTCTCTAACTTTCCTTCCTTCCCCCTTCTTCTTTCCCTCCCACTTTCTCTCCTTTCTTCCTTCTCTACCTCTTTCCTTCCTTCGCTCTTTGCTTCCATGCTTCTTTCTCTCTTTCCTTCTTTCTTTCCCTCCCTCTTCCTTTCTTTCTTTTCTTTCTCCCCTTTCTTCCCTTTTTTCCTGTATCGTCATTTAGCTTTTCGTCATTTAGCTTTTTTGGGTTTTTAAATCCTTTCTGCTCTGTTTTAAGGAAGTTGTATGAGTGATGGTCACTCGTTGGCCTGAGAGGTGTCTTGTGTCCAAATTTGATGTCAATTCATCCAGTGGTTTTTGAGTTATTTTAATCCCACAAACAAACATTACATATATATATATATATACTAGCTGTGCCCTGCCACGCGTTGCTGTGGCCTATAGTAAAACTTATCAAAGTTGAGGTAGATACCTGGACTATTATGAAAGAGAGGTACTACTTACCTATTCCTTCCCCCTTTTCCTCCCTTTCTCTCCTTTCTTCCTTCTCTACCTCTTTCTTTCTTTCACTACTTGGTTTCATCCTTCTCTCTTTCCTTCATTCCCTCCCCCTTTCTTCCTTTGCCTTTCTTCCCTCCCTGTTTGCTTCCTTCTTTCACTTTTTATTTCCTTTTATTTCACCACCATCATAACAATAACAATAATGCAATGCATTGCCTCTGGGACCTGACACCTCTCCCATTCCCCCTAAAAGGGTCTCAGAGGAACAATAGCATAATAATAATAATAGAAATAACAACCTTTACCCGCCACGTGTTGCTGTGGCCAATCTTCCCTCTTTCTCTCCTTTCCCTCCTTCCTTCCTTCCTTCCCTCCCATCTTTCCTTCTCCTCTTCTTTCTCTATCTCTTTCCTTCCTTCCCCCTTTTCTGCTGTCTCTCTTTTCTTTCCTTCCATCTTTCCTTTTCTTTCCTTTTCTTCTTCCTTCTTTCTCTAACTTTCCTTCCTTCCCCCTTTTTCTTTACCTCCCTTTCTCTTTCTTCCTTCTTTCCTTCCTTCCTGTCTTTCCTAGATTTTGACAGGGCGGGAAGGGGCGGGGGGGGGGGAGGTGGCATGAAGTAAAAGGAGGTAAGATTGGGGCAGGGGAGTGATGGAGCGTGGGGTGCGTGTGTGTGTGTGGCGGTGGGGGGAGTGATGGAGCGTGGGGTTGCGTGTGTGTGTGCGGCGGCGGGGGGGGGGGGGTTGCGTGTGTGTGCGGCGGCGGGGGGAGTGATGGAGGTGGGGTGCGTGTGTGTGTGCGGAGGCGGGGGGAGTAGAGTGTGCGGCGGCGGGGGGAGTGATGGAGCGTGGGGTTGCGTGTGTGTGTGCGGCGGCGAGGGAGTGATGGAGCGTGGGGTTGCGTGTGTGTGTGCGGCGGCGGGGGAGTGATGGAGCATGGGGTTGTGTGTGTGTGTGCGGCGGCGGGGGGAGTGGGGTTGCGTGTGTGCGTGCGGCGGCGGGGGTGATGGAGTGTGGGGTTGCGTGTGTGTGTGCGGCGGCGGGGGGAGTGATGGAGTGTGGGGTTGTATGTGTATGTGCGGCAGGGGTGTGTGTGTGTGCGGGAAGCGGCGCGGCGGGGCTTGGAGTGGGCATGGTTTCCGCAGAGGGAACGTTGGCCGGAAGGGCATGTGCGCGCGCCAGGGAACTTGCGGCTGGGCGCCAATGCGCATGCTCAGTTGTTTTGCCGTTTTGTGAGTGTGTTGTTGTGTTGTTTTTCATTTTGAGTAGATACGTTTGTACCTTGTGGGTTGTGTTATGGGCATGGGAATTTTGGTTAAGTTTCGTTGGGGTTTTTTTGAGTTTTGTTTTTTTGCCGTTTTGAGTGTGTTGTTGTGTTGTTTTTCATTTTGAGTAATATGTTTGTACCTTGTGGGTTGTGTTATGAGCATGGGAATTTTGGTTAAGTTTCGTTGGTTTTTTTAGAGTTTTATCCTTTTGCCGTTTTGTGAGTGTGTTGTTGTGTTGTTTTTCATTTTGAGTAGATATGTTTGTACCTTGTGGGTTGTGTTATGGGCATGGGAATTTTGGTTAAGTTTCGTTGGGTTTTAGTTTTGTTGTTTTGCCGTTTTGTGAGTGTGTTGTTGTGTTGTTTTCATTTTGAGTAGATATGTTTGTACCTTGTGGGTTGTGTTATGGGCATGGGAATTTTGGTTAAGTTTCGTTGGGGGGTTTTTGAGTTTTGTTTCCTCGTTGGATGCCCCTAACAAATATATATATATATATATACACACACACACACACACACACACACACACACACACACACTAGCCGTCCCCTGCCACACGTTGCTGTGGCCCAGTCTGTGTATATGTGTTTTGTGTTTGCATATATGTGTATAATACGTGTGTATATATTTGTGTATATGTGTATTTGTGTGCTTATGCACATGCATTGTAATGCATTTTTGTTTTTTGGCTTTTTAAGTCTCTTATGCTATGTGTTTCAATATTTTTATGAGTGAGGGTCACTCATGTTTGTACCTTGTGGGTTGTGTTATGGGCATGGGAATTTTGGTTAAGTTTCGTTGGGGGGGATTTGAGTTTTGTTGTTTTGCCGTTTTGTGAGTGTGTTGTTGTGTTGTTTTTCATTTTGAGTAGATATGTTTGTACCTTGTGGGTTGTGTTATGGGCATGGGAATTTTGGTTAAGTTTCGTGGGGGGTTTTTGAGTTTTGTTTCCTCGTTGGATGCCCCTAACAAATTTATTGTAGAATAGGTTTGCTGTATTTTATAAGGTAACTAGCCGTCCCCTGCCACACGTTGCTGTGGCCCAGTCTGTGTATATGTGTTTTGTGTTTGCATATATGTGTATAATACGTGTGTATATATTTGTGTATATGTGTATTTGTGTGCTTATGCACATGCATTGTAATGTATTTTTGTTTTTTGGCTTTTTAAGTCTCTTATGCTATGTGTTTCAATATTTTTATGAGTGAGGGTCACTCATTGGCCTGAGAGGTGTCTTGTGTCCAAATTTTGTGTCAATTCATCCAGTAGTTTTTGAGTTATGTTAATCTCACAAATGAACATTACATTTATTTACAACAACAATGATAATAATACAACAACTATGATGATGATGATAATAAATATGGTAATAATAATAAATGGTTAAATAAAACAACAATATGACAACAATGATAATGATAAGAATAATAAATATGTTGATAAAATAATAATAATAATTATTATTATTATTAGAAATCCAAAAGAGTTTTATCCAAACTCTGCCATTTGAGAACGCATTGCTCGTTGTAATCCTGGCATAACACATGTGAGGGTAAGTATGTATATGTGTAGGTGTGTGTATAACACAAACTGTGGGTGTATGTGTGTATATGTGTGTGTGTATACACAAACACACACACACAGCTTGTTTTCGTTTAAGAGGAAATTATTGTGTTCTTTCTAAAAACTCTGTAGGCACTACTTGAATTGCCACGGCTCAAGGCTATGGAGTCATGGGAGTTGTAGTTTGACAAGGCCTTGGACCTTGTGCAAACAACTCCTGCCAGGATTCCATAGCATTGAAGCACAGTAGTTCGAGTGGTCCCAAACTGCATTAATGTGATGCAACCATCGCTTTCCTCACCATCCAGCTGGGCCACGGTGCGCCTGGGTTACCCAAAATCCTCTCCATTCGCTGGACGATGGCCTGAGAGGTCAAGTTCTTCCCGGAGCTCGGAATATGGCAAGTGAGGATGACCCTGCTGGGCACCTTGTGGGAGATGTTGCAGGCTTCACTCTCATCCCAAACCATCAGGACCCTGGAATAAGAATTAATACAGACCATTCATTCGTCTCTTAGTAAAACTACAACTCCCAGGATTCCATAGCAGTGATCTACAGCATTTAAAGTGGGGTCAAGGGACATTCATCTCTTAGTAAAACTACAACTCACAGGATTCCATTGCCTTGATCTACATCATTTAAAGAGGGGTCAAACGGCATTCATTAGACCTTTAGTAAAACTACAAGTCTCAGGATTCCATAGCATTAATCTATGGCAATCAAAGTGGGGTCAAACGGCATTCATTCATCTCTTAGTAAAACTACAACTCACAGGATTCCATTGCCTTGATCTACAGCATTTAAGGAGGGGTCAAACGGCATTCATTTGTCTCTTAGTAAAACTACAACTCCCAGGATTCCATAGCATTGCCCTATGACAATCAAAGTAGGGTCAAACAGCATTAATTTGACTCTTAGTAAAACTACAACTCCCAGTATTCCATAGCAGTGATCTGCAGCATTCAAAGAGGGGTCAAGGGACATTAATCTCTTAGTAAAACTACAACTCCCACAATTCCATTGCCTTGATCTACAGCATTTAAAGAGGGGTCAAACGGCATTCATTAGACCTTTAGTAAAACTACAACTCTCAGTAATCCATAGCATTGATCTACGGCAGTTAAAGTAGGGTCAAACAGCATTCATTTGGCTCTTAGGAAAACTACAACTCACAGGATTCCATTGCCTTGATCTACAGTATTTAAAGAGGGCTCAAAAGGCATTCATTCATCTCTTAGTAAAACTACAACTCTCAGGATTCCATAGCATTGATCTATACCTGCCTCTTAGTAAAACTACAACTCTCAGTAATCCATAGCATTGATCTACGGCAGTTAAAGCAGGGTCAAACAGCATTCATTTGGCTCTTAGTAAAACTACAACTCACAGGATTCCATTGCCTTGATCTACAATATTTAAAGAGGGGTCAAACGACATTCATTAGACCCTTTGTAAAACTACAACTCTCAGTATTCCATAGCATCAATCTATGACAATCAAAGTAGGGTCAAACGGCATTAATTTGACTCTTAGTAAAACTACAACTCCCAGGATTCCATACCCTTGATCTACAGCATTTAAAGAGGGATCAAATGGCATTCATTAGACCTTTAGTAAAACTACAACTCTTAGGATTCCACAGCATTGACGAATGACAATCAAATTGGGATCAAACAGCCTTCATTCGTCTCTTAGTAAAACTACAACTCCCAGGATTCCATAGCATTGATCTATGGCAGTCAAAGTGGGGTGAGACTGCATTCATTCAACACTATAGTAGATAGATACACTCATAAAGGAAAGGAAAATAATGACACTTCTGTTTTGGATGTTCAATCCAAAATCATGGCAATGCTTTGGATTTGATTGCACACTCCAAGGCTTCCACCAGGGGGCGTTTAATATCTTTATGAATATTCATATTCACACACACACACACACTAGCCATCTCCTGCCAGGAGTTGCTGTGGCCCAGTCTGGTGATTTAGAAAATAAAGTAATAATCTATCTATTATCTATCTATCTATCTATCTATCTATCTATCTATCTATCTATCTATCTATCTATCTATCTATCTATCTCTATGGCTGGATGGCTCTCTGTCTGGAGGGCTTTTATTATGTTTTCTTGCCCTGATGAAGGGAGTTGGACTGGATGGCCTTCAGTATTTTCTGTTGGTCATGGGGGTTCTGTGTGGGAAGTTTGCCCCAATTCTGTCGTTGGTGGGGTTCAGCATGCTCTTTGATTGTAGGTGAACTATAAATCCCAGTAACTACAACTCCCAAATGTCAAGATCTATTTCCCCCAAACTCCATCTGTGTTTATATTTGGCCATATGGAATATTAGTGCCAAGTTTCATCCAGATCCATCATTGTTTGAGTCCATAGTGCTCTCTGGGTGTATGTGAACTACAACTCCCAAACTCAAGGTCAATGCCCACCAAAGCCTTCCAGTATTTTCTGTTGGCCGTGGGAGTTCTGTGTGCTAAGTTTGGTTCAATTCCATCCTTGGTGGGGTTCAGAATGCTCTTTGATTGTAGGTGAACTATAAATCCCAGCAACTACAGCTCCCAAATGCCAAGGTCTATTTTCTCCAAACTCCACCAATGTTCACATTTGGGCATATTGAGTTTCTGTGCCAAGTTTGGTCCAGATCCATCATTGTTTGAGTCCACAGTGCTCTCTGGATGTAGGTGAACTACAACTCCCAAACTCAAGGTGAACTACAACTCCCAAACTCAAGGTCAATGCCCACCAAACCCTTCCAGTATTTTCTGTTCTTCATGGGAGTTCTTTGTACCGAGTTTGGTTAAATTTCATCGTTGGTGGGATTCAGGATGCTCTTTGATGGTAGTTGAACTATAAATCCCAGAAACTACAACTCCCAAATGACAAAAATCAATTTTTTGAATGAAGGACATTCATTGGGTTGTTATGTGTCTTGTGTCCAAATTTGATGGTTTTTTGGCAGCAAATGTGGACACCGACCACCTATTATAATATTTCTATCCCTTCCCAATGAGTTCTAGTTTCTTGCATTGCAGAGGTGAGAAGCTGGAAAATTGTTCCCACGAAAGAGTGCATCTACACTGTAGATTTAATGCAGTTTGGTTCCCCTTTGAGTGCTATGCCTGGCCTTACCTCTCCTCTCCCCGAACCGGTGGGATCTCCTGGTCCAATTCGCCCCAGGCATCCAATACCTGCCAAGAGAATCCAGACAGAGCAACATGAGGCTCGTATCAAAGGCGCATCTACACTGTAGAATGAATGTGGTTTAGTTCTGCAACATCCTTCTTACCATTTCCAGGCAACGCGTGGGCTCCTTCTTCACCAGGAATCCATGCATGCCTTCGCTGTCCCAGAACGCCATTGCTCTCTGCAAAACAGGAGAGGCATTTGTGCTGAGCATGGCATGGATGCATAGTTCTGTAATCCAAACATGTCTTATTGCATGGGATATTGATCCATCGGTGATTCTGATTCTATCCGAGAACTGTGGGATTGTGAGGCATCCTCCGGAAGGGCAGCAGAGTCTAAGCAGCGCCACTCTTTGCAACTGGGACCTTCTCCATAGGCATTGGAGGAGAAGCCCGGCGCATCGAAGAAAAGGGTAAAGATCAGAGTAATATTAATCAATAGCAAGATATCGGAAATATTAATTCCTTGCCATTCAATTCTATGAATGACTCCATTAGAAAATTAATATACATATAATGGGACCTTTTATAAAATTGTATAGGTGATGGACTACAACTCCCATCAGCCCCAGATCTGAGCAACTGCAACTCCCATTAGCCTAAGATATGGTCAGACTTCAACTCCCAGCAGCCCTAGACAGTGGAAGGGACTCATATAGCATATAGCTATACTACAACTCCCATCACCCTCCCCAAACCCCACCAGTATTCTTTGTTGGATCATGAAGGGTATGTGATCCCAAGGATGGTCTGGATCCAGCATGCCATATAGGACCCTTTGTGTAACAAACARACAGACAGACAGAGAGTGAGAGAGATGTCTCTGTGTGTACATATATAACTCTTTGTTTTCCAAATAAACATACATTAGATAGAGATAGAGATAGAGATAGAGATAGAGATAGAGATAGAGATAGAGATAGAGATAGATAGATGGATAGAGGGATAGAGGGATAGAGGGATAGAGGGATAGAGGGATAGAGGGATAGAGGGATAGAGGGATAAATAGGTGTGTATACCTATAGGACTCTTTGTGTTGCAAACATAGATAGATAGAGGGATAGATAGATAGCCAGACAGACAGATATAGAGTGAGAGAGATACAAACATGCATTAGATAGATATAGATATATAGAAAAATAGATCGATAGATGGGTGGGTGGGTGCATGGATAGATAGAGAGAGGGGGTGGTGGTAAATAGCTATGTGTAGATAGATAGATAGATAGATAGATAGATAGATAGATAGATAGATAGATAGATAGATAGATAGATAGATAGATAGAGGGATAAATAGGTATGTGTACATATAGGACCCTTTGTGTTACAAACAAACATGATAGATGGAGATCAATCAATCGATAGATAGATAGATCTCTGTATGTACATAGAGGGCCCTTTGTGTTACAAACAAACATGCATTAGATAGATAGATAGATAGATAGATAGATAGATAGATAGATAGATAGATAGATAGATAGATAGATACAGATAGATAGATAGATAGATAGATAGATAGATAGATAGATAAGATAGATAGATAGATAGATAGATAGATAGAGGGAGAGATAGAGATAGAGAGAGGGGTGGATGGATGGAGGGAGGCAGATAGAAGGATGGATGGATGGATGGATAGATAGATGGAGGGAGGGAGGGATGAATACATAGATAGATAGATAGATAGATAGATAGATAGATAGAGGAATAGATAGAGGAATAGATAGAGAGATAGATAGATAGAGAGATAGATAGATAGATAGATAGATAGATAGATAGATAGATAGAGATAGATAGATAGATAGATAGATAGAGGAGGGCTGGATGGATGGACGGAGGAATGAATAGATAGATAGATAGATAGATAGATAGATAGATAGATAGATAGATAGATAGAGGGATAGATGAATGGAGGGATGGAAGAATAGATAGATAGATAGATAGATAGATAGATAGATAGATAGATAGATAGATAGATAGATAGATACTCTGTACATATAGGACCCTTTGTGTTACAAAGATAGATAGATAGATAGATAGATAGATAGATAGATAGATAGATAGATAGATAGAGATAGAAAGAAAGATAGACAGACAACCAATAATGACCAGAGTAGGAAAGGACAATGACAATACTAAATGGTTTACGGACTTGGACTTGGTGAACACTGACCACAAGATGTATTTTTAATTGCTGCTAGTTTATTGTCTGATTGTTTTAATCAGTTATAACTGTGATATTATGTGTTAAATTTGCGTATTGTATTTGGCATTGTATGTTGTAATTGTTAGGCATCGAATTGTGCCTTTTGTAAGCCGCCCTGAGTCCCCCCTAGGGGGTTGAGAAGGGCGGAGTAGAAGCACCCCAAATAAATAAAGATAGATAGATAGATAGATAGATAGATAGATAGATAGATAGAGGTGTAGATATGTATGTACGTGTATGTACATTTAGGACCCTTTGTGTTACAAAGATAGATAGGTAGGTAGGTAGATAGATAGACAGACAGACAGACATGTTCATGTGTGTACATATAGGACCTGTTGTGATAGATTAGATATAGATAGATAGATAGATAGATAGATAGATAGATAGATAGATAGATAGATAGACAGATACTGTAGCTAGATAGATAGATGTATGGGTGGATGGATAATTGGTAGGTAGATATATCTGTGTGTTTCCAATATCGGACTCTGTGCTACAGATAAACATACCTTAGCTGGATATAGATAATAGATAGATGGAGGGAGGGATAGACAGACAAAGAGATACCTTAAGGAGCTGCCTTGTTTGGTTGGGCTCTGCCACTGGATCCATCTCTTCTTCACAGACGGGGAATTCGAGGAGTATTCGGATCTCTAGACGATCGAAGTTGGGGATTTCAATGAGGAAAAAGCATGAAAATGGCACAACGCTCAAACCATACTTCCACCCTGGCTCTCATCTCCTGTGCCACCAAGTCATGCTACCTCCCCCGATTTATGCAAACACACGCAACGCACACACAGACTCCTTACCTCTCTTGCGGGCATCACGCAGAAGCGCTTGCCAGTGTCCCAAAGAGCCGTGGGCAGGATGGACATGGCTTAGGTTGGCAACGTCACCTCCAAAGATGGAGCCCAAGACAAGGCCGTGGACGGGCAGCTCCAACAGCTGGTCGAGATGGTCCCTCACACCTTGGGAGAAGAATCAAAGTGTGGTTGCATTTCGGTCGTTGTTGTTGTTGTTGTTATTACATCACTAACCAGAGCACATGCGCATTAGAAGGTTTGAAAAGGAAATCAGCAGAGAGTTTATCCTGCCTGGTCTACCTATGGATACTGTATGTAAGCTGGAGTATTATGGAGTATTATTTTTTGTGGGTATATCTAACTTCAGAAACACACACACACACTTGCATATATACCTGGAGTTGCCCAGATATATGTATTCTTCATCCCTCATTCACCTTCTCTCTTTTCTTCTTTGCTTTCCTTCATACACCTTCTTTGCCTTTTCTTTCTTTCATACCTTTTGTTTTTTCCTTTCTTTTTCTTTCCTTCCTCTGTTTTCCTCATACACTTCATCCCCCTCTCTTTTCTTCCCTTTGTTTCTTTCATATCACTTTCCCCCTTCCTTCCTTCCTTCCTTCCTTCCTTCCTTCCTTCCTTCCTTCCTTCCTTCCAGCCATCCAGCCATCCATCCATCCATCCATTCCTCTTCCACTCTTTTTTCCTTCCTTTCCTTCCTTCAGCCCTCCTTTTCTCTCTTTTCCTCCTTTCTTTCCTTTTTCCCTTGCTTTCCTTCATGCATCTTCTTTGCCTTTTCTTTCTTTTGTTCCTTCAATTCATTCCTACATTTTCCTCATATACTTCATCCCTCTCTCTTTTTCTCTTCTTCCTTTGCTTTCTTTCATATAGCTTTCCTTCCTTCCTTCCTCTTTCCTTCCTTCCTACCTTTTCTTTTCTTTCCTTTCCTTTCTCTTCCATTCTTTTTTCCTTCTTTACCTTCCTTCAGCCCTTCTTTTCCCTCTTTCCCCCTTTCTTTCCTTCTTCATACAGCTTCTCACTCTTGTTTTCCTTTCCCCCTTCTTCTCTTGCTTTCATATAGCTTTCCCATTCTTTCTTTCCTTTCTCTTTCTTTCTCTTCCCTATTTTTTCTTCCTTCATTGCCTTCCCTTCTCTTTCTTTCCTTTTCCTTACCATACGCCATTCCCCCTTTCCTTTCTCTCCCTTTCTTGCTCTTCCCTACATTTCCTTCCTTCCCTTCCCTTTCATTTCTCTCCTCGCCATATACCATTCCCCCTTTCTTTCTCTTCCTTTCTTGCTCTTCCCTGTTTGTTTCTTTCCTTCCCTTCAGTCCTTCTTTCTTCCCTTCTTTTCTTTCTTTCCTTTCCATGTTACACACCACTTCCTCTTTCCTTTCTCTTCCTTTCTTGCTCTTCCCTATGTTTTCTTCCTTCCCTTCCCTTCTTTCTTTCCTCGCCATACACCATTCCCCCTTTCTTTTCTCTTCTTTTCTTGCTATTCCCTATTATTCTTTCCTTCCCTTCCCTTCAACCCTTCTTTCCTTCCTTTTCTTTCTTTCCTTCTTCATACAGCTTCTCCCTCTTGTTTTCCTTTCCCCATTCTTCTCTTGCTTTCCTTCATATAGCTTTCCCTTTCCTTCCTTCCTTCCTTCCTTCCTTCCTTCCTTCCTTCCTTCCTTCCTTCCTTCCTTTCTCTTTCTTTCCTTTCCTTGCTACACACCATTCCCCCTTTCCTTTCTCTTCCTTTCTTGCTCTTCCCTATGTTTCTTCCCTTCCCTTCCCTTCAACCCTCCTTCCATTCTTTCTTTCCTTCCTTCCTTTTCTTCCTTTCTCTTTCCTTTCCTTTCTACACACCATTCCGCCTATCCTTTCTCTTCCTTTCTTGCTCTTCCCTATGTTTCCATCCTTCCTTCCCTTCAACCATTCTTTCCTTCCTTCCTTCCTTCCTTCCTTCCTTCCTTCCTTCCTTCCTTCCTTCCTCTTTCTTTCCTTTCCTTTCCTTGCTACACACCATTCCCCCTTCCCTTTCCTTTCTCTTCCTTTCTTGCTCTTCCCTATGTTTCCATCCTTCCTTCCCTTCAACCTTCCTTCCTTCCTTCCTTCCTTCCTTCCTTCCTTCCTTCCTTCCTTCCTCTTTCTTTCCTTTCCTTTCCTTGCTACACACCATTCCCCCTTCCCTTTCCTTTCTCTTCCTTTCTTGCTCTTCCCTATGTTTCCATCCTTCCTTCCCTTCAACCTTTCCTTCCTTCCTTCCTTCCTTCCTTCCTTCCTTCCTTTCCCTTCCTTCCTTCCTTCCTTCCTTCCTTCCTTCCTTTTTCCTTCCTTCCTTCCTTCCTTCCTTCCTTCCTTCCTTCCTTCCTTCCTTCCTTCCTTCCTTCCTTCCCTGCCTCCCTTCCTTCCTTCCTTCCTTCCCCTTTCTTCCTTCCTTCCTTTCCTTTCCTTCCTTCCCTTCCCTTCCTTCTCTTCCTTCTTTCCTTCCTCTTTTCCTCCTTCCTTCCCTTCTTTCCTTCCTTCCTTCCTTTCCTTCCTTCCTTCCTTCCTTCCTTCCTTCCTTCCTCTTTCTTTCCTTTCCTTTCCTTGCTACACACCATTCCCCCTTCCCTTTCCTTTCTCTTCCTTTCTTGCTCTTCCCTATGTTTCCATCCTTCCTTCCCTTCAACCATTCTTTCCTTCCTTCCTTCCTTCCTTCCTTCCTTCCTTCCTTCCTTCCTTCCTCTTTCTTTCCTTTCCTTTCCTTGCTACACACCATTCCCCCTTCCCTTTCCTTTCTCTTCCTTTCTTGCTCTTCCCTATGTTTCCATCCTTCCTTCCCTTCAACCTTCTTTCCTTCCTTCCTTCCTTCCTTCCTTCCTTCCTTCCTTCCTTCCTTCCTTCCTTCCTCTTTCTTTCCTTTCCTTTCCTTGCTACACACCATTCCCCCTTCCCTTTCCTTTCTCTTCCTTTCTTGCTCTTCCCTATGTTTCCATCCTTCCTTCCCTTCAACCATTCTTTCCTTCCTTCCTTCCTTCCTTCCTTCCTTCCTTCCTTCCTTCCTTCCTTCCTTCCTCTTTCTTTCCTTTCCTTTCCTTGCTACACACCATTCCCCCTTCCCTTTCCTTTCTCTTCCTTTCTTGCTCTTCCCTATGTTTCCATCCTTCCTTCCCTTCAACCTTTCCTTCCTTCCTTCCTCTTTCTTTCCTTTCTTTCCCTTGCTACACACCATTCCCCCTTCCCTTTCCTTTCTCTTCCTTTCTTGCTCTTCCCTATGTTTCCATCCTTCCTTCCCTTCACCTTTCCTTCCTTCCTTCCTTCCTTCCTTCCTTCCTTCCTTCCTTCCTTCCTTCCTTCCTTCCTTCCTCTTTCTTTCCTTTCCTTTCCTTGCTACACACCATTCCCCCTTCCCTTTCCTTTCTCTTCCTTTCTTGCTCTTCCCTATGTTTCCATCCTTCCTTCCCTTCAACCTTTCCTTCCTTCCTCCCTCTTTCTTTCCTTTCCTTTCCTTTCCTTGCTACACACCATTCCCCCTTCCCTTTCCTTTCTCTTCCTTTCTTGCTCTTCCCTATGTTTCCATCCTTCCTTCCCTTCAACCATTCTTTCCTTCCTTCCTTCCTTCCTTCCTTCCTTCCTTCCTTCCTTCCTTCCTTCCTTCCTCTTTCTTTCCTTTCCTTTCCTTGCTACACACCATTCCCCCTTCCCTTTCCTTTCTCTTCCTTTCTTGCTCTTCCCTATGTTTCCATCCTTCCTTCCCTTCAACCTTTCCTTCCTTCCTTCCTCTTCCTTCCTTCCTTCCTTCCTTCCTTCCTTCCTTCCTTCCTCTTTCTTTCCTTTCCTTCCCTTGCTACACACCATTCCCCCTTCCCTTTCCTTTCTCTTCCTTTCTTGCTCTTCCCTATGTTTCCATCCTTCCTTCCCTTCAACCTTTCTTTCTTTCCTTCCTTCCTTCCTTCCTTCCTTCCTTCCTTCCTTCCTTCCTTCCTTCCTTCCTTCCTTCCTTCCTCTTTCTTTCCTTTCCTTTCCTTGCTCCACACCATTCCCCCTTTCCTTTCCTTTCTCTTCCTTTCTTGCTCTTCCCTATGTTTCCATCCTTCCTTCCCTTCCCTTCAACCCTTTCTTTCTTTCCTTCCTTTCTCTTTCTTTCCTTTCCTTTCCGTTCCTTTCCTTCTGACCTTCCTTCCCTCATTTTTCTTTCTTCTTCCCTTTCTTGTTTCCTCCTGCCTTCCTTTCTGTCCCTTCTTTTTTCCCCTCCCTCCTTCCCTCCACCTAAACTTCCTGACAGCAAGAGCCTCTCAGCAGTGGAATCTCCTCCTCCAGTGGTTTTAAAGCTGAGGCTGGGTGGCCATCTGTCATGAAGGTTTTGATTGGCAGAAGGGGATTGGACTGAATGGCATTTGGGCCAACTTCGGCCCTCCAGGTGTTTTGGACTCCAACTCCCACCATTCCTAACAGCCTCTCGAGAAGCGCCTCTTCTCCCGCAAGACATTGGAGTCCAAAACACCTGGAGGGCCGAAGTTGGCCCGTGCTTGTGTTACATAGTGTAATTCCTCTTACCTCCCAGGTCTCCCTGGCCATCGCCGTCGGAGTCCGGGAAGGCAGCCTTGGGCAGGTGATAGAAGGAGGCCCTCTGCCACCAAGCCAGAGCTGGCTTTGGCCGTGGCATGGTCACCAGCAGCAGGATTGCCATGAGGAGCATGCCGCCAAAGAGCGCCCCCAGGAGGCCAAAGAGGGCCTTGCGGAGGCCGGCCCACGGGCCAGAACCGGCCTGCAGCACCACTTCCTCCTGGCTCAGGTAGATCTTGGCTGGCGGAGCCGCTTGGGCCAGCAAGGGCAGCCGCTCCCCCGGCTCCTGGGAGGTGAGGGCCACTTCTTGGGCTTTGCCCATCCTTCCGAGATTACAAGCGAGGCCCAAAATTCGCCCTGGAAAGGAAGAAGCAATAGCCAGCACCCAGCAATTTGTGAGTGCATCCGCATGGGAGAATGAATGCAGTTTAGCATCACTTTCTAACTGTCCTGGCTCCATGCTACGGGGATTTGTTGTTTGGCGAGGCATCATCCCCTATTATCTTCTATATAAATAAAAATGTAATGTT